GAGATCACATGAACTTACTCGTTCACTTTAATCACACAGCTTTGCAAACATAGTTGAAATTACAGCACATAAAATATGACGATGATCCCAGCACTATATTTATTTAGCTAAAGTTGGGACTGCAGAAAATATAAAAGCAGTGCAATAATTAAAAAATAATTTAAAGCCTTTATTGAAAGACAGCATCTTTTTTTTGTTTTATTTTATTTGCATTCAGTCAAACTTGTCGTTGCTCATCGTCCGCCGACAAAAATCATTTCTGAGTGAAACACGAATAAAAACACCCAAAAATCCTGTTTCTCTGGCAGGATCCTTACAAGTCTTTCGGTCTTCCCTCCATTGGACGCCTGTCTCAATACCAGGAGCCACTCAACCTTGACAAAGTGAGTCGATCAGTTTTCTTTTCAAACACACAGTCTGCCGGATGCTGTCGTTTCCTGGCTCACTCTGCTTTCCTCCAGGTCCGTGTAGACAGCGGCATTCAGGAGGGAAGTGACATCAGCATCTACTATGATCCCATGATCTCCAAGGTCGGTGATGTATTGGATACAAAATGTAACCATTCAGCTCCAAAGTTTATTTGTATCAGATCTTTGAAGGAGGTCGGTGCTTCACAGATGACTGTTGATAAGATGGCTGTCGCAAACGCCCGTTACATCCTGGGCCAGATTAGTAAAAGTCCTCTTTCTGTCACCGTAAACAAGTTTCTTTGTTTTCTACATTTAATCCTGACCAAAAAAGATAAATACAATGATAAAAATGAAAAGGTTGGGCGATGTCAGTCGTGCACGTTAACGGCACTCAGTCAGGCCTTCAGTAAGAGTCACGACATCATGATGCCAGAGGTCAGACAGCTCTCAGCTCATAGGATGCAACAGAAGTCGGTCACTTACAGCAACCAAGGTTTGTAGAGGAGCATCTCTGAATGCACAACATGTCGACCCGTGAAGCAGATACAGCAGCAGACGACCACGCCACCAACACTGCACAAAGCTGAACAGTGTTCCCTGGTCTGTGTGTGCTGGACCGAGCTTGTTTAAGCCTGGGGGGATATTTTATTGGCAGTCTTTGGGCCTCTTAGCATCACCCGAGCATCATTTAAACACCACGGCAACCCGAGTGTTGTTGCTGACGATGTCCATCCCTTCATGAACGCAGTGAACCATCTTCTGTGGGCGAGTTATCCTGCTGGAAGCAATCGTGTCACCAAGCTCGGATCATCTCAGGCTGCGTCCACACGTACACGGGTATTTTTGAAAACGGAGATTTTCCGTTTT